CTTAGAGCTGTTTTACTGTAGTGATCTTATGGTTACTGTCTTTCTGATAAGGTGAAAGACTTGATCCAACAGCTGTAAACATCCTGCAGCAAATCATTGAGTTGGGTTCGGAAACCCATGATGCCACTGCAGTTGCTTCTGTCGTTACCATGGCACCTGGCACTGTGACTGTGGTGAAGCAGGTAAGAGCTCTTTTCTTCTCGAAAAAAGCTATAATTAATTTTCGTATAATTATTGTGAAATGAGTATTATTTTGCAGGGGTTAAGTTTTGAATGACCATGCAAGACATGTATACAATTTTTCCTAGACTAATTTTTTACTACACATTGTGGGTATGTGTGTTTATATGCCCACACACTTACATGTTTATACATCTTTATGCATATATGTTTCTGCATATAAAAATGCATACATTTTTGCATGTATATAAAATATAAGTGAAAAAATAGACATATATATGTACGTGTGTTTGTGTGTGTGTGTGAAAATACATGTTTTTCTAGCAGGTATATTCAGGCTTTTAAAAATATCATACCTGTATTGTGGGTGGGCACTTAGTCCCTTTCTCAATTAAAGGAATTCAGGATTTAAAAGAATTAAAACTCATTTAAAAGAATTCCTTTCAGCATTCATCCACATACAGAAGAGTCTGACAGAGTGGTGTTGGTGCACAGCTGTGCATGCTCTGCAACTGTAGTGCTGTAGGACCACACTCAAAGATGAAGCATTGCCATTAGTCTTTGCAGTGCTGTCCTGTGGCTGAAGTTAGAAAGACTTGCAGAGTCCTAAAGTCATGCACCCTGGGGGCACATAAAACTTCTACTCAGTCTGAGCTCACACTGCCTTTCTAATGAAGGATGCAACACAAGTGATCTACAGCTCTGAGAATATTGCAGGTGCTCCTTACAGCAGTTGCTTATGTGAGACAAAAGTCAGCGTGGCCACCTGCATTTGAGATAAATGCAGAAAAATTCAATTGATTTGTAGTTGGGTGAGAAGATCTGTAGTTAATTTTGTTGTTACCAGGGAAATTGTGCAAGACCAGAAGATACAGATCAATATATAAAAAAAAAAGGCATGTATAAGATCGATTGTTAATTTCAGACTTTTGCACGGATTCTCTTTCCAGAAAAATGGTGAATTCAGCTGATAATTAAAGTGACATAATTGGTGGTAGGCAATGCAGTTCCTCTTAAAATGAGAAAAACCTTAGAAGTTATTGATAGAATTAACTTTAATATGTGTATGCTTTTCTTGAAGTTTGGTACTGCTCAGTTTTTATTAAGAATATTTGCGTGTACAGTATTATTAAAGCACTTTAGAAGTTAAGAGTGATAAGATCTACAAAATCAGCAAGCAAAAGGAAATAATTTTTAATTTGAGGTGGCTATTGAGTGTGAATGTCAAGACTTCTGCTCTGTATTTCTTCCTCACAGGTGCCAGCTAATTTTGTTGCTAATATTTTACGTTTTTCTTCACATTGTTCTCCAGGCTCCACTTGTTCTTCCTGTTTCATCTTACCTCTCTGCTTATCCCTTTTGCCATTCTGTTCATTGATTTATTGAGGTCTCTGCACTCAATGTGCTTGATAGGTGAGGGATGGAAAGTACATGAGAAGTCTTAAATTGCTGGAGAGTTTAATTTGAATGAACCAAAACTCTGATTATTCTGAGATCTGGAACTAACTTTTGAGTTCAGTATTTTTTGTAGTGTTGTGGATGTTGAATTTATGAGACTTCCATAGAAGTGGGGTCTGTAGTCTGTGAATGCAGTATTTGGGTAATGCCACCTGAATGTCAGAGAGATAAGGCAGAATTTCAGGGCAAAGCATTTTGAAATGTTCCTTTGCAGTACTTAATAAGTATCTTCATTAGAAACTATGTTAAAAGGTTTCGTTTTTTTGAAGAATAACAGATCCAAATTTGGAAGCTAAATTCAATCATTAAAGAGAAGAGACATTTTACTCCTCTTTATGTGCAAGTTTCAAAGCAACTTTAGCAGCAGAGTCACTGCCAACATGCACACTGTGCTATACATATGACCTGTTTATGGGTTGAATCATAGAATCATAGAATGATTAGGGTTG